CGCGGGCTGGATCTGGATCGGGGAGAAAGGGAAAGAGAGAGGCGGCGGAGAGGGGGAGAGAGAGGCGGGCGCGGGCTGCTAGGGTTAGGATTAGGCTGCTGAGAGGTGGACGGTTCGGATCGGCTACAACGGACGGTTCAGATCGGCTAAGGGGGGTGATCCGTGGGATGAGCCCTGATTGGCTCAGAAAATTTATGGTTTAAAATAGTTTCTAAGTACTAAAACTATGGTTGTTTTGTGAAGCAGCTATCAAAAATATTTTGCAAAATGGCACAACTAAATTTTTCTTTGAAGTTAGACCACATTTTTGGATGATCGCCAATTTGCATGCATTTTTATCTTTCTAGCTATTTTTAATCATTTTTCGAGTGCCCAAAATAAGTTTTTTTGTGAAGGACCTATAATATATTTGTTGCAAAATTGTACCAAATAAATTTTCTAAAATATTAGGACATATTTAATGCACAATTGACAAAATGGTTGGGTGTAAAAAGTTTTGATCCACCTCTGGTGAAAAAGACAAATTTCCGCCGATTTAGTTGGAAATGGGTCAAATTTGAACTGCAGCTGCCTTATAGTTTGCTCTTTATTTTTCCCAAAAATAATTTCTAGGTACATAAGTACCTATTTAATCAGAGAAACACCAAAAAATTCCAAGATTCAACCACTAGATAGGAACGGTCAAGCTCGCCGTTTTGACCGCATTTTGAAACGGGCATAAAAAATTTAAAAGAAATAAAAAAATTGAAAAACCTTCGCATTGTGTTACTATATGTGACCAAGTTTTCAGGAAAAATAATAAACTTGTAATACGGTAATTATTTTAAAAAAGTGTTCTCAGAAATGAGCTATCAAGTGTGAAGATTCATGGCTTTCAAGTCAAATGATCAATCTTATGGCCACATTCATGGCATAGTTTGTTCAAATGATCTCATATTGTGCACAAGGGTGCATCTTGGAATTCCAAACAATGTTGCCTAAGGGAGTTTTCATTTTCTTTGCACGGAAAATTCATTTTCCATTTTCCGACTGCCCGAAATGAGTTTCTTTTGTGAAGGACCTACCATATATTTATTGCAAAATTGAACCTAATCAATTTCATAAAATACTAGGCCATATTTAATGCGCAATTGACAAAATGGTTGTGTGTCAATTTTTTTGATCCACCTCTGGTGAAAAAGACAAATTTCCACCGATTTAGTTGGAAACGGGTCAAATTTGAACTGCAGCTGCCTTATAGTTTGCTCTTTATTTTTTCCAAAAATCATTTATAGGTACATAAGTACCTATTTAATCAGAGAAACACCAAAAAAGTTCCAATATTCAACCACTAGATAGGAACGGTCAAGCCCGCCGTTTTGACCGCATTTTGAAACGGGCATAAAAAATTCAAAAAAAATCAAAAAATTGGAAAACCTTCGCATTGTGTCATTATATGTGACCAAGTTTCCAGGAAAAAAAATAAACTTGTAATACGGTAATTATTTTAAAAAAGTGTTCTCAGAAATGAGCTATCAAGTGTGAAGATTCACGGCTTTCAAGCCAAATGATCAATCTTATGGCCACATTCATGGCATAGTTTGTTCAAATGATCTCATATTGTGCACAAGGGTGCATCTTGGAATTCCAAACAATGTTGCCTAAGGGAGTTTTCATTTTCTTTGCACGGAAAATTCATTTTCCATTTTTTGAGTGCCCGAAATGAGTTTCTTTTGTGAAGGACCTACCATATATTTGTTGCAAAATTGGACCTAATCAATTTTATAAAATACTAGGCCATATTTAATGAACAATTGAAAAAATGGTTGGCTGTCAAATTTTTTGATCCACCTCTGGTGAAGAAAACAAATTCCCGTCGATTTAGCTGGAAGCGGGTCAAATTTGAACTGCAGCTGCCTCATAGTTTGCTCTTTTTTTTTCCCAAAAATCATTTCTAGGTAAATAAGTATCTATTTAATCAAAAATACATGGTTTGATGGCGAGACATTGAGGTTTGGATGGTGGCCGAGGGCCCCAACTCTAGAGCGCGTAAGCTCGCATGCCCGCCGCGTGGTCACCGCGTTACCGTGGCGTTGCCATGTGTTCTGGGCGGCCTAGGCATGTCTAGTGGGTTGGACACTCCCCAGGTAGGTGCTAGGAAGAAAATCACAACATAAGGTTCTTACGAGGAGACTGATCGATGCTCAAACATGAATAAGCAACCAAGTGTTTGATTTGCGGTACGGGAAATGCACATGGCTAATGGGCGTGAGTTTCGGCTGAGGATGATCAGTTACTAAGAAGACCGTCTTCACAAATTTTCACCTCAAAAGAAGGAGCCTAGGTGGTACTCACTGGACATAAATACGAATGTTGAAGCTGGGCTCAAAATAATGAATGGATTGAACTGGCATTTGGTGGAGGATGGTTATTTGGGCATAGGAAAGCACTGTAGAAAATGGATACCATTTGGAGATGCCAAAATGGTACTTCCTTCACAAAGTGCTGCTTTGAACGGGATAGGAAAATGAATATTTTTGAGTTATTTTTGAACTAGGCAAGGAAGGTTTTTGACATATTTGATGAAGATATGATCCAAACAATTTATGAGATTTTTTTGGGAATTTTTGGAATAACAGAAATATAGGTTGCTCCGTAACCTAGGGCAAAAATTGACACATGGACATGCCACATAGGCAAAACTGATAAGATGGCGCCTAGTCATCACAACCCACCACAATCTACAAGGCTATGACCATCTATATTAGTCGTTAACAACTAGAAATAAGGCAGCGGACCTGCACTGTTTGCTTTCTGACCATTTCGTGTAAGGAAATTACGACCTTTCTGACCAAAATGATCGCAATGGTTTAGGGTTTGGAGCCCCCCGAACAGCTTTTGACCAATTGGTCTCAAATGCTCATAGATCTACGACCAATTCTTCCAGGGTCACTGACAGAAGGTCACTAGTTGACACATTTCTTGTAGTGCCTCCGCGTCAGCCATGGCCACCCTACACCACGGTCCCGCTGCGTCTGACATGCCCGGCGCGCGCCCATACACGCGCCTAACGCATCCAACATGAGCGCTCCGGCTCCGTGCCACACGCCTCCACGCGTTGTCGTCGTCGTTGAAGCCGCCACCACACAGGTCCTCCGCGGCCTCCTCACCGTGTCGCCACAGCCACCGTGGCCTCCTCGCCACGCTGTGCTCCTCCATAGGCCGACACACAGACCGGAGCATCGCGCAGCCGCCGGCGAACTCCGCCACCGCCGGCACGCCTCCGACAAGAAGAAGGACGTCCAAGATGAACCAGCTCTGATACCAGTTATTGTTACCGTGGCCTTCTCCTTCTCTCATCGGAGCTCAACCTCGCTGGCTCTCTCTCTGCACTCGCCTTGCGCTAGAGGAAGAAGAAGACTGGAGGAGGAAGAAGGACACATAGACACAAGAAATTTTCTCGGCCGGCGCACGAATGCCGCCGTGGGCGTACGAACGCCCCAATCTTTTCTTTGTATTCATAGGCTACATGCTCGGCAACTCCCTGGTGCAAACACACTCGTGGCCGGGTCTTTTGTAGTCCTACGGTAGCGCAGCTCCCACGTTACCTGAGCGCACGTACGCACTCACCGTGGCTGCTTGCAACAGAACCGCTAACTGCCTCCTGCATGCATGCGCTAACAACCACGCTTAGCAGCCACCAAGTTCGTCCTGGCTAGTTACCTCCGGCTCTCACGCCTACCCAGCGACACACACGCATGCCACGAGCACACACAATGCACGCATGCACATGAACGCACGCTTATTCCTAACATTCTGCTCTTTTGTATAATCGCTTTTGCATTAAAGGCACAACACAATTTTAAAAAAATGGAGTTTCGTTATCAGCTTGTTCGATGTTCACTGTTTTATTATATTTCATTTTTACTTCAACTAGCTGGGCGGCCCTCGTGCGAGGGCAGCATATTTAGTGTGTCAAAACTGTTTGAATGATAAACCCATTTTTTTTCATACTATGCTATTACAAATGATATATTTTAAATGCACCGCAAATGTCATGATAAAAGTATATACATGAAAGAGGATATTTTGCATGAAAATGTAAGCTGAACTCCAATCAAAGATACTAGTCTTGTCAAACAATATGTGCCATTGGTGGATCACAACATAAGGTTCGTTGAAGTGCTTATTCTGCAGTAATTGCGTGATTTAAATAGCACGCAAGGCCACATGCTTCCTAGGAAGACCATAAAACTGTTTGTGATGAGGAAGAAAATAAAGCAATGGAATTGTTTCTTCCGGATCAATTAAGATCTTCACGTACTTCAACGCGAGTCTGTGGCCTCTACGAAGAAGAAAATTTCACTCTTACAGAAATTTGAAGACTCGAAAGATCCTCAAAGGCAAAGCATAGAAGGAGCTTGAGGTTTGTTGCTTTATCCTCAAAGAGGATGGTGTCGTTCACATACTGTAGAATGGATAAACCATCTACTACTAAATGACGAATTACACCACTAATTTGTCCAGTCGCTTTTACGAGTTCAACGAGTATAGCGAGCATATCCGCTATGATGTTGAACATGCCCACCGGTGAGGTCTGGATGCTGGCAAGTTGTGTATTAGCTACCAGCCAAGAACTGAAGCAAGACTGTTCGTTCATCGATCAATTGGTTCCGTTATTCTGTTAAGCACCCCGTACATGTTCCATGAGGATGTTCTGCTTGTCGAGGCTGTGCTTATCTACTGGGAAAACAACATTGAGCCGGTTGGGTCACTTCCACATAATAGCAACATGTCACATGTAGATAGTCACATACAATATGGAGGAATCACCAGGTCTTTATGCTTTTATACCGTGTCTCATGCAACAGGAGTAATAAATGGTGGTACATTGGTTGTTTTTCATATTTTTTTTAGAAATTTTGATGCATGCAAGCCTTTATTATTCGGCTATAATGTGGTTAGGGGCAGTGCAAAACTGCCCTAGTGGTTGGCAAGTACGTTTACATACAATAGGAGTATTATATGTCTCTCTTCTTCAACTTAACAATGAGCCCGTTTTCCATTTCCAGTATAATGGACGGCTTGGGCTGGATGCTCTGCCCTTCCACCAAATTCACATCGAAGTTCCACACCGTTGTAGCAATGACAGTCTTCATTTGCATAATTGCAATGTCCTTGCCGAGGCACATTCTCGGGCCTGAGTTGAATGCCAAGAACTTGTGAGATGGTATGTATCGCAGGTTGTTGCCCTCATCCGAGAGCCACCTATGTGGGTTATAGTCGAGGCAGTCTTTACCCCACACAACCTCCATTCTCCCCATGGAGTGGACAGAAATAAAAATGGTGTCACCGGCATGCACCTCATGGCCACTCGGCATGATGTCATCTACGGCCACCGTCTTGCGCAAGACAGGCGCTGGTGGGTACAGCCTGAGAGTCTCGTACAAGATGGCTGTCAAATATACTAGAGATTTGGTCTCGTCTGGCTCAAAGATCACCGGGGTACACATGCCTACCGCTACTTTGCGTGATGCAATGGGTGAAAGTTCGTTGCGGATGATTGACACGATGTTAGGGTTTTGGGCAAGGTTGTAGAAGATCCATGTTAGGGTTGTGGCAATTGTGTCCCTCGCAGCGAGCATGTAGCTAATGATCACCGCATGGAGCAAGTCAACATTAGCGTAGTCTGGGTCTTCGAGGAAGGAAGAAATAATATCCACACTCTCTTGTTCCTTGCCATGTCCAGAACGACATGAGGTGATCTTCCTCTTCTCCATCATCTCCCGGACGAGCTCTCGTAGCACCATGCGTGCCGTGTCAAGCTTTCTCTCAGGGCCGATATTTAGCCACCTCATCGACTTCCAACAAGATGCTGGCATCATGAGCCTAAAAAATCCCACCTCCATCACCGTGTCAAGGGCAACCGCTGCGTCCATGGGTGGCATGTCCAAGGATAGGAGCCCTGGATCCACACTGAAGAGAGGCGTAGCAGCCAGGTCAAACATAAGCCTCGACATCAATTCTTGCATGTCGAATGAAGTGCCGGTGATCGCCATGCGGGTGAACAATGGGAGGAGGTTGTTCTCCACCTTGCCACAGAGGTAGGCTGCCATACTGGCAACGATCCGCGGGCTGCTGAGCATGCTCTTGGCTTTCGCACGTTGTCGGCGGCACGGCTCACCGTCGATGGTGAAGAGGCTGCCACCCATGATTTCAAAGATATCGGCGAATTCCGTGCCCTTGGGGAAGTTGGCATGGTTTGTCGTGAAGATGTGTCGGGCGTTCGCAGGGTCACATGTGATGAAGAAGCGCATCCCAGTGCCAGGTGGTCCATGCGCCCTGAAGTTGTGGCCTGATCTTGCGAGGACCAGGGTGAAATAGTCATAGAGGTTGTGGAGGTTGGCCATGAAGGAAGGGAACATGTGCAGTATTGGCCAGTTTGTGGGAAGCACGGCTGGGTTCTTTGATCTACAACTAGCCCTGAGATACAAGCAAACTGGAACAAGTAGAACGAGGAATGTGGAGATGAGCATAATTGACATTGTTATCAGCAGTGTGAGATATGCTACTACTTGAGATTTATTCATCAATTAGCATGGCTATGGCTCCATATATAGACGCCTTCCCTCCATCATAGTGATACTACCTCAGTCCATTGGTACTATACTTGCTAGTATTCTCAGTTAGTGTCAACATAACTCCACTTCATTGGGCTCAAAAGCAGGTGATAGTTGGCAGATTTGGCGATAAGTATGTGAAGTTCAGTACTTGATAACTTTCATTCAAAATTGGATCGCTCCTTACTTAGCTCATCGGGCTATACTTTAGTGTACTTGATCAGTGTCAACATAACTACATAACTACACTTCATTGGGCTCAAAAGCAGGTGACAATTGGCAGATTTGGGGATCAAGTACACTCTTTGATCCCATCGCAAAGAAAAAGTATTCTTGATCCCATCGCCATGTACGCCATTGTCAACATGCAGGGTCATCGTCTTGCGAGGAGGATTCATAGCAGCAGTACCGTACGTGTGGCAGCTGGCTGGCTCAAGTAATATGCAGCACACGTACGTACGGCAGGAGATGGAAGAGATCGACCAGTAATTGTTCAGCACGTCGCATATATGCGCGCGTACGCGTGTGTATATGCTTTGGATTTCAGACACGCTATTCTTCTTCTAGAGCACACATTAGCAGCAGTGTTGAGCAACTGCAGAAGCAAACGCACTCCTAATTAAGATCAAACAAGTAGCCTTCTCAGTTCTCACTGCTTAATTACTTAATTCTACGTCTCTCGTAGCCAATTTGTCATTCTTCTTCCTTGGCATGGGCAGCAAGCATATATATCACATCTATATCATGATGTCCATTCAGATTTAAATTGGGATGGTTACAATATGACGGCTTTGCTAATCTTGTCAAGAATATATAACAAAGGCCGGCCATTGCTTGAACTAGAGATGGAATTTCACGTTCGTGCTATGCGACATACTATATATACATAAGAGGGTTATCCTCACTAACTTATTTATCTCAACATGCAAGCATGCCACCTCAACATACAATTATGAATGGGTGGCTTCGATGGCAAACGCTCGGGCCCAGCCGGCTTGGTCGCCTAGTGGCTCAGTTGTGTCGCGCAATTCTGTTTTTCCAGCGTCACCTTTTTGTAACAAAGATATGTTGCGGAAAGAACTTTTGCAACATTGATGATGTTGCAGATTTTTTTTTTTGCAATGAAAAGATGTCGTAGCAACACCTTCGTCGTTGTCCTCGCCGTTTTGCAACTCCGTCGTTGTTGCAGAAACTCGTCGGCATGCGCTGCATGGCCTGGCAGACATGGGCAACGAAAGCGCGAGGCTGACCCGCTGGTGTCGTGACGCTGTTCCTGAACCCGCTTCGCCCCTGGTGACGGGGACCTCTGGCTGGGATCGCGCCACGGCGTAGGCGGTGTGGGTCTTCCTTTCGGCACCTAGGTGGCTTCAACGGCGAATGCTCGGGCCCAGCCGACTTGGTCGCCCTGCCCTGCATACTCGCCTAGTGGGTCCGAAACAGACCGCTTGTTGCGATGTGCTTTTTGAAAAAGATGCTTAGTTGCAAGAACATGTGTGGATAGCATTTCAGTGGATACAGGGATGAAAGAAAAGATGCGGTGTGCGGGCCCATGAAGACGCATGGTTGACGTTGAGGAACGCGGCGGATGTTAGGGGAAAATCAGTCCATTGAGCACTAGCTTTTCACCAAAGAAGCTCCGGATCGACGACGGGCTGGCTCCTCACTAAGTTGCGCTTACCAGAAGGTAGCACAACCCTGTACCAGCCCGGTGGAGCCCAGTCCCGAACATGCCCCCTAGGCTCAAGCAGGAGTCCTCTGCCGAGTCGACGACAAGGAAGCGGGATAGGCATCGTCGACGTCGATAACAAAATGCTTAATTATGAAAACAAAATTAATAAACACTTAGAAAAATTCAGCATGACCTTTGCTAAAAGCAGGACATATCGAGCGCCTGAATTTTGCCAGAACGTAAACGAATCGATATTTCTGACAAAACATAGGCCACTCGGTTAAACAACTAAGATTGTGACATCTTCAAAATATGACATATATCCACTTCAAATTTGCATATAACAGGAATGTGATAGTTCAAAATATGATCCTAAGATTAATTAGCTAGGGTTCATACTACATTATCCTAAGATTCATACTACATTATCCTAAGATTAACTAGCTAGGGTTCATACTACATTATCCTAAGATTAAACAACTAAGATTAAACACCTAAGATTAAACAACTAAGATAAAAAACCTACATTATCCTAAGTTTCATACTACATTATCCTAAGATTAGCTAGCAGCTAGGTTTCATACTATATACATTTTCCTATGATTAAACAACTAAGACTAGGGAGGAGGAGGAAGGAGGGAGGAGGATGTACCTCTCGGTGGAGGAGGGCCGACGTGGGAGGAGGCTGACGCGGGGGAGGAGGCCGACGTGGGGGAGGGCGGCCGACGCATGGAGGAGGGCCGACGCGGGGGACGGCAGCGTGCGGGGGGTTGACGGCGGCGCGCGGGGGGGATTGAGGGAGGAGTGGAGTGTGTGAGTGAGCTGATGAGGCCGGCCGGGGGCGCGAGCAGGGTAACGGGCCAGCGGCGTGTGGGGGAGGGAGTGGGCTTAACAACAGCGCAGGTAACGGGCCAGCGCTACTACTAAGCCCACTAGCTGTAGCGCCGGCGCACATCACACGCTACAGCTAAGTGGCCTGCCCTTTTGGCCCCGGCGGCCCTCTAAGCAGCAACGCGGCCCGTTTTGGCCGGCGCTACTGGTACATACCAGTAGTGTGGGCGCCCAAACAGACGCAACTACTAAAATTGTATGTATAAGCATTTTCCTAGTAGTGTGTTGGTGCGCTCCTTCAGACGAACGATGCCGCTGCGACTGCGCGTGTGTGGACGCCGCGGAGCAACGACCACCGGAGCAAGCGGGGCGTCCGGAGCAGGCGAGGCGTCCGGAATAGGCGAGGCGTCCGGAGAAGGCGAGGCGGTCCAGCGAACTCTGGCGAAGAGGGACTGGGTGACAGCGGGCCGGGAGACGGGGGACTCGGCGATGTGGGCCCAGGCAGCGTGTGAGTTGGAGGGGAGGCCAGGCAAGGAAGCGGTGACTTAGGCCGCTCCGTCACGGGCTCCGACCCAGCCATAGTAGCCGACGCAAGCTCCGGCCCAGTGGTAGACGGGGCTCCCGAGGCGGGGTCGAGGACGGGAGGCGGTGCATGCACATGCACCGGCCGTTCGACGTGCACCACGGGCGGCGTAGTAGGTCCGTCAGGGAGAAGTTCCAGGCGAGCTCCACGTCCAGTTCCTGCACCATGATTAGGTAACAACACAGGCGAATATGCAACATCTTCAAATTGGCCAGGCATAAGAGGACATAGATGGTGCTGTGGTGGATGAATGAGGCATGGCAGAAAAAGGGAAGACATTCTCATCGAAAATAACATCCCGAGATATGTAGACTCGATTAGTTGGGACGTGGAGACACTTGTAGCCTTTATGGAGAGAACTATACCCAAGAACACACACTTTTTGGAGCGAAACTCAAGTTAGCGATCATTATAAGGACGAAGATGAGGCCAGCAAGCACATCCGAATACCTTGAAAAAGATGTAGTCAGGAGTTTCATCCAAGAGAAGCTCAATAGAATTTTTCATATTAAGAACACGCGTAGGTAATCTGTTAATGAGAAAACACGCGGTGGCAAAAGCATCACTCCAAAAGCGAAAAGCTACAGAAGCATGAGCAAGAAGTGTGAGGCTGGTTTAAACTATATGGCGATGTTTGCGCTCAATAGTGCCATTTTGCTGATGTGTATGTGGGCATGACAAACAATGGGAGATCCCAAGCTTATTAAAGAAAGTGTTCAGGTTGCGATATTCGCCCCCCCCCCCCAATCTGACTGAACATGGATAATATTATGCTTGAGTAGACGTTCAACATATAACATAAACTGAATGAATATATCAAACACATCAGATTTGCGCTTAAGAAGATAAAGCCATGTGAAACGACTATAGGCATCAACAAAATTGACATAGTAGTTGTGAACACTAACAGATGTTTGTGCTGGACCCCACACATCAGAAAAC